GGTCTGAGGTTAGCTCATGATCATCTGCAGAGGTCAGCCCCTCACCAGGGGGCCTGCCCCATCTTCTCTCTACAGAGAACATCAGGCCCTTCCAGCTCTACAAGATCACTGTGACCCCCCTCTACCAGGACACCATGGGACCCTCCCAGCACATCTATGCCTACTCCCAAGAGATGGGTGCGTCAGCCACCTGGCCCCTCCCAGAATCCTCTCCTCTCAGTGCCTTCCTGGGCCCCAACACTCAGGATGATGAAGGAACATTTCCTCCCTCCCCCACTGCTGGCCCAGAAGAGGCTCTCTCCCAACCCCAAGATTACCCCTGGCTTACACTGGACCCCTGCAACCAGACAGAAGTCAGGTGGTGGGGTGACAGAAATTAGGGAGTGGGTTTGGCAGAATTCGGGAAGCAAGTCTGGCAAAAATCGATCAACTGCCCTGACAGAAATCAAGTGTCATGTGTGGCAGAAATTAGACAGAGGGACTGGCATAAAGTCAGAGAGCAAGCGGCAGAAATCAGACAGTGAGCCCAACAAAATCAAGCCTGGCAGAAATCAGGTGGCAAGGCTTTGGAATCAAAGAGAAGCAAGTTCAGATCCTGACTCAGCCATTTTTTAGCAGTCGATGGAATTCAGTCGAAGGTCCTGGCAACAAGAGGCTTAAGGCACGAGTCCCCTTGGACTCTCTTTCTTTACTCCCCACCACAGTGTGTCTCAGTTCTGGCATCTGGGGAGCCACAAGATGTCTCTCCACTCTGTCCTGCTCCGCATCAGCCCCTGTACCTCTCTCTTCCGGCAGCCCCCTCCCACGCCCCAGAGCTGCATCTAAAGCACATTGGCAAGACCTGGGCCCAGCTGGAGTGGGTGCCCCAGGCCCCCGAGCTGGGGAAGAGCCCCCTTACCCACTACACCATCTTCTGGACCAATGCTCAGGACCAGTCCTTCTGTGAGTCTCTCCTCAGCACCCCACAGCCCCAGAAGGCCTGGGAGGGGGGACACGGGGTGGGGGGCCTCAGCAGCCTCGGAGGGAGCCTCGGCATCTGGGCCCAGGCTGACCATTCTCTTGCACTCCCAGGCATTGTCCTGAATGCCTCCTCCCACGGCTTGGTCCTCCGCGGCTTGGAGCCTGCCAGCTTGTACCATGTCCACCTCATGGCTACCAGCAAGGCCGGGGCCGCCAACAGTACAAGCCTTACCCTGATGACCTTGGCCCTAGGTAAGAGCAGAAGCGGGCCGGCCAGACAAGGCTGCTGGGAAGGTTCCTCACCCAATGGATCTTTCATTTGGAGGCTTTGCCTGGATCCACTGGTCTGAGGGAGAAGACCCAGCCCTGCCCATGAAGCTCAGCCTGAGGGAGGCGGCCCAATCCTGCCCTCAGAGCCTAATCTGAGGGAAGAGACCCAGCCTTACTCGAATGCACTCTAACCTCTTCTGGCTTTCCCCTCACCCCAGAGGAGTCTGAGCTGCATGTCCTCCTGGGCTTGTTTGGTTTCCTGCTTTTGTTCACCTGCCTCTGTGGGGCGGCCCGGTTCTGCTGCAGACCCAGGTGAGTCCTTTCAAGAGACCTGACACTTAACTACCCCTGCCCACAGGGACTGCAGGCTGGAGTGGGCCAATCCAAGTCCCTCTTCCCCTTCTCAGGCCTCAGGGCCCATGTCTGGATCAGGCCCTGCACCAACTCTTCTCTGCCCAAGGGGCCTTCAGCTGCTGGGAGTGGGTGGGAGAAAGAATGGAAAGATGGGAGGGCATGCCTGACCCAGCCTTCACCTGCCCTCTTCTGCAGCAGGAAGAATCCCCTCTGGCCAAGTGTCCCAGACCCAGCCCACAGCAGCCTGGGCTCCTGGGTGCCTACCATCATGGTGGAGGTGAGAACCCCAGAGGGAGAGGGAAATGAGGCTGGGGGTGCTGGTCCAGGCTCAAAGTGAAAGGATACTCCTCCGAGGATGAGGACTCAGGCCCCCCCATCACTTCCTAGCAAGGTCCTCCCCCTCTGGAGGAAAGCAGATCTGAGTTTGAATCCCAGCTGGTCCAGGCTCAAAGTGAAAGGATACTCCTCCGAGGATGAGGACTCAGGCCTTCCCATCACTTCCTAGCAAGGTCCCCTCCCTCTGGAGGAAAGCAGATCTGAGTTTGAATCCCAGCTCTACCCATTTCAAAGCCTCGGCCATCTCACTGTGAAATGGGACGTATCTCACACAGAATCGCTGGGGACATTCACCAAGCTAAGTCTGAAGCACACAGCACGTGTCAGGAAAGTATGAGGCGCTTTACAAGTGTCATCCTTTGGGTTCCAGCAGAGAGCAGGAGGAATAGCCCCACAACTGTCCCAACACAGGAAGGGGCGGTGGTTGGGATGAACATCTGAGATGAATCATGCCCTCACCCTACGTCCTTGTGTCCAGGAGACCTTCCAGCTGCCCAGCCTTCGGGACTCCAGCATGCCACCCATCACCAAGATCACGGTGCTGGAGGAAGAAGAGAAGAAGCCAGGGCCCTGGGAGTCCAATGACAGCTCAGGGACCTGTGGCCTGCCCACCCTGGTCCAGGCCTATGTGCTCCAGGGGGACCCAAGAGCACCTTCCACCCAGTCCCAGCCCTCGTCTATCACCAGTGACCAGGTCCTTTACGGGAAGGTGCTGGGCAGCCCCACAGGCCCAGGTCCAGGGCACTACCTCCGCTGTGACTCTACTCAACCCCTCCTAGGGGGCCTTACTCCCAGCCCCCAGTTTTATGAGAACCTCTGGTTCCAGACCAGCCCCCTGGGGACCCCAGAGCCCCTCGTCCCAAACCAGGAGGATGACTGTGTCTTCGGGCCATTGCTTGACTTCCCCCTCCTGCAAGGGCTCCAAGTCCATGGGGTGGAGGGGCTAGGGGGTGTCTAGTGCTTCCTGGGACCCCCTCCTGGGCCTGCCTCTTGAAAAGCCTGGGCTGTCCACGGGAGAGTATCAGTAAGCCCATCATGAAAAAAATCACCTAGCCCCAGAAGGGCAGAAAGGGTACGGGGATCTCCCTAACTCTGGCCCCCAGCACCCTTCCTCTATCTCCCCAGTGCCCACAGGCTGGGCCTCTCACTTGAGTGGCCAGAGAATGTTTCATCCAACCCTGCCCACTAGCCTCTTGTGCTTATTTCCTGTAATTTCAGTCTCTTAAACCATTGATCCATGATTTGGTTTGGTTTGATTTTGAGAAACTCTTGAGTGTGCCTTTGCCTCTGTTCTTTTTCTTTTCAGGGCCCTAGCAGTGACAGGGGTACTTATCAGAAGTGTTCATTTATGTACTCCTTCCTTCACTCATTCACTCCACCAGCCCTCACCTAGCATGTAGGCTCTGTGCTAGAAGCAGGGATTCAAAAATGATTTGGCTCAGTCCACCCTCAAAGGGCTCCCACTCTAGTGGTAGAGACTTGAAGACTGGTCATTAGGGCACAGTGGTCAGGGTTGAGGGGGGTCACAAAGTGCTGTGGGACATGGGGAATAGACCTCAGAAAAGACTAACCCCTGTTGGAGAAATATAATTAAAAACAAAATCTACAGGGGCACCTGGCTGGCTCAGTGGGTGGAGCATGCAACTCTCGATCTCGGGGTTGTGAGTTTGAGCGCCATGTTGGGTGTAGAGATTGCTTAAAAATGAAATAGTAAAAAACATAAAATCTCCTGCCAACCTAGAAAACCCCTCCAAGAGGGTAGAAGAGGGCAAAATCAGTTTTAGTACTGAATGAACGTCAAACCAGAGCAAGGTTCTCTCCCTCTGTGATGTGATGTGCATCACCAGCAATCCCCTAAAGAGTTTGAAAAGACAGAAAGAAATCTTACCTTTGTATATAGCCAAGTGGATACAGGTTATTGCATGCATTTTCTCAAGATAAATAATACCTAGTCCTCAAGCAAAAGGACTTTATGGCACCATCTGTCACACAGAGTTCATCCTAAATTCACCCGGTAAGTGGGGTAGCCACCCGTGTTTGCTAATTGCCTTTATCCCAAAGAAAACGAAATTTCTCATATCTTTATGAGAAGAGGCAGGTTGGCAACTTAGAGCCAGGCAGAAACTGGGAGACAGGGCCACTGTCTTCCTAATGATTACATTTCAAGAGATGGCTCCTAGATCCTTGAGAAGAACATTCCCGTGCTGTAAAACCAGCAAGAGCCTTATTTAGTTTTTGAAAAGATTTACATAGGTCTCAAAAGGACAGAGGAATAATTCACAATCACAACTTTTCAAAAGTAAATGCTTTAAGAAAAGTGAGGGGGAGGAGAGCTTTTTCCCTTTTTGCACCAAGGGAGAATTAAAATGTTATTTTTAATTCATTAAAAATTTATTTTTCCTGCTTTTAATTTGTAGTTGTCTTTACACCCCTCATTTCACAAATATTATCATAGCAAATACTTACTGAATGCCTACTATATAGCAGGCAGGTCCCTTGCACACAACTGCCTCAGTTAATACCCCAACAACCTAAAGAGTAGATACTGTTATTCCCATTCCCATTCCCGTTTGATGAATGAGTACACCGTGGCCCAGAAAGGTGGGGTGGTTTGCCCACAGGATCACAGTGAGTAAACAGCTGAGCTTCAATTCCAGCCCAGAGCTGTCTCATTCCAAAATAAACGACCTTCATCACGAGGCTTACAAGGCTGCCCGAGAGGAGGCTGAATGAAACCCAGTAGCTCTTACGGGGCCTCATCCTGGAATGTGGTGGGAGAGGAGGTAGAAAGACTAGGTTGGGGGAGAAGACTAAGGCAGGCCCTAAGAAAACCTCCAAAATAACCGGGGCTCAAGGTCAGGAACATAGAGTGGGATTAAGGGTGGGATGCATGCCCAAGGAAAAAACGGCATCTTAGAATTTATACAGCACCGCACACCACTAACCAGGCCCGCGACCACCCAGCCTCCTGCCCTGCGCAGCTGCTAACCAGACCTCTCCCCTGGACCCAACCCCGCCGCACCCCGAGTCTCGCCTTTCTAATCCATTGTCTCGGTCCTCATCTGCTCCGGTCTCGCAACTGCGCTCCATTGGTCGAGCCTGAGTCAGCATGGCGGCGCCCAGGTAACCCGGTCCGTGCCGCGAAAGGGACGGCGGCCGTGGCGCCGGCCCCGCGCGGTCACGAGTCACCATGCTGAGGACGGCGTGGAGGGCGCTGAGGTCGCTTCGGACCCAGGCAGTGGCCCAGGCCCCAGTCCTTGGGCTGCCGGGCGGAGCGTGTGCCAGGCCTCCCTCTCTCCAGTGGGGCCTTCCCTCTCCTCGCGGTGAGGCGCGGAGAATCGGGGCAACGCGAGGAGGGAAGTGGGGTTGGACGGAGATGGCGGATACGGGGGACGAGGATAGGGGAGAAGAGCAGCGGCAGGATGAGGGAGAAAGGTGGATGGGGAAGAAGTAAGACGAGGTGGGAGAGGCGTGGGGCAGCGGGGTGCGGAAGAACTGGGGCGGCGGTTAGGCGCCGAGGCGCAAAGACCATGCAGGAAGGGTAGTGCAGGGGCCATAGAAAGGAATGGAGGCTGGGCTAGTTAAGGAGATGGCCTGAGCCCTCTCTCTTCTGCGTAGGTGTCATCCTCCCGGCCGTTCGCGGATATGCCACCCACAAACCAGGTAGGAGCTCTCGGGTGGGACTTAGGCGGAGAGGGACTGCCTGGAGGGGCGCCGGGTGGCCAAAGGGAAGGAGGTGGCTAGTTAGAACCACCTGATGGGGTGGGCAGACGCGTAGGCCAGAGGGCCTGAGCAGAAGCCCCCCACGTCCGCCTTGCCACCAGGCTGTAGCCTGAAGCCTGTCTGGCGCGGGGGAGAGGCGGGGCGGGGGGGGGGGGGTGCGGAGCAGGAGCCTGCGGACGGGGTTTGAGTGAGAATGAGCTAGCCCGAGGGAGGGCGTGCTGGCACCTCCCAGGTCTACCTAGAGTATAGGTAGGCGCTTTGTGTCCTTCTGAGGTGGAGGGCTTGGTTTCCCATTCCAAGGCAGTCTGCATGGTGGGAAGATCTCTCTTCCTAGGTAAATGAGACTGGGCAAGTTACTTTCTCTCAGTGTCATTCTAAAATGATTATAAAAGTATCTGAAAGGATTGTTGTTAGGATTCAGTGCTAACACGTGAAGAGAGCACTCTTCGCACTGGGTGCAAAACATGAAGTATATATTAGCATTTACTGCTGTGATTGCATAGCGGCAGAGCAGGGGCGGACTGGAGAGGACCAGTTGATCTCCCTCGTGCCTCTCTCTCACCTCCCAGGGAATGACACACACCAAGGCTTAGAGTTTCCTATATGTGGTCTTTGGTGCTTCCTGTGTCCTAAAGCTCGGGGCCCTGCTCAACCCCCTTATTTCATTCATGCCGTCAGCCAGCAAGTGTTTGTTGAGTGTCTGTTTTACATGAGGCCATAGACCAGACCAGGGGATTCAAAGAGAGTCAAACTCAGGCCATCCACAAAAGGACCCATTCTGGTGGGGAATCTAAAGTGGTGTGAGAGGTAAAGGCACAATATGGGGCCTTAGGAAAGCTCATCTACTCCCAGTGTGAAATATCAAGACAGTTGCCTGCAGGGTTTGCAAAGGAGAGGCTGAGCCCAGAGATCTCTAGTGCCTCGCTTGAGGCCGTGGCTGTCTGTGACAGAGTTGGTGAAGAGAGTCAGGACAGGGAGGATGGGCAGTGCGAGTTGACTCGGGGTGTTTTTTTGTCCCTACACTTGACAGTCCAGCCCAGCCAAGAAGATGACCCGCCCCCTTCCACGCTGCTCAAAGACTACCAGAACATTCCTGGAATTGAGAAGTAAGCAGAAAGAAATCTCTCTGATGAGGCAGGGGGCCCGAAGAGGATTGGGGAGGAGAGCGGGAAGACAGTGACTTCAAGGCCTGGCCCGCTGTATCTGAAGCTTAATGACACAACCGGGCAGAGAACTACTGAAGCCCAGGCTTGATGAGGGGCAGCAGGGGCAGAATGGAGTTCATGGAGCTCAACTGCTTGCCTTTTTTCCTACTGTGGTTCAGATAGAGGGAGACAACATGCAGGGCTGAAAGACACCCAAGCCAGGATCCTTCTGCTCGGCCCCTGCCCTATACAGCAAGAGCTGGGCAGTCCCTTCCACCGTACCGTGTGATAGGGGTAAAAAACAATGATGATAGAATTGAAATGTCTCGGGGCACCTGGGTGGCCCAGTCTGTTAAGCATCTGCCTTCGGCTCAGGTCATGATCTCAGGGTCCTGGGATAGAGCCCTGCATCGGACTCCCTGCTCAGCAGGGAGCCTGCTTCTCCCTCTCCCTCTGCCTGCCGCTCCCCCTCTGTCTGTGTCAAATAAATAAATTAAATCTTTATTAAAAAAAAAAAATGAAATGTCTCAAGACAGACTGACTGAACCATATTCTAGCTGAAATGAAAATCCTCCCTTTGGGGGCGCCTGGGTGGCTCAGTCGTTAAGCATCTGCCTTCAGCTCAGGTCATGATCCCAGGGTCCTGGGATCGAGCCCCAAATCGGGCTCCCTCCTCTGTAGGAAGCCTGCTTCTCCCTCTCCCACTCCCCTTGCTTGCGTTCCCTCTCTCGCTGTGTCTGTCCCTATCAAATAAATAAATAAAATCTTAGAAAGAAAGAAAGAAAATCCTCCCTTTGCCCTCCCAGTGAGGAGCCTGGAACAGTCAAGCTGACAGCCCCAATTTTGTGCAGTTATCACATCATTCCATGTTCTCAGCACAGCAAATCAGATTCTGGCTGACTTTTAATCCCTGAGAAATGGCTCCCCACTTCTACAGAGACACTTTTGTTATAAAACAAATTTTCAGTCATTCTTGCTTTTCGAACTAAAATGGAACCAGCACTGATTCCCTTGTCCCCTCTCCCCCACACCTGTCTCTCATAGCTATGCTTTTCCCACAGGTTTGACGATGTCGTGAGAAGACTCTTGTCTTTAGAAATGGCAAACCAGGTAAGTGACCTGTGCCAAACCTTGGCCTCTCCCAGTCCTCTCCTCTGGGACTCCCTCCTAATGTGGTAACACCTCCATCCCATGCTTCTCAACTCACAGCATTTATCCCACTGTCATTCTGGGTCTTCTTGTCCATCCCCCAGACGAAGCATGTCTAGGGCAGGGACTATCTTGTTCTCTCGTTGTATCCCTAGCACCCAGCACCCAACAAACAGTAGGTACTCAGTAATGATCTAATGCCTGAATGATTGAGCACGGTTTGGAGATCCTCATCTAACAAGCTGTGTCACCTGTCATTGGTCTTGGGCTCACCTAGGTGTGAATAACCACGGGCTGACCAAAGGCCGTGCCCTGGTGAACAGCGGGAAGCCAGGCGCTGAGCTTTATGGCCTAGTTTCTATGACTGCAGCCAGGGCCTTCGAGGTATGAAGGCTAGTTCTTAGTGGGTGCCAGACCTCACAGATTCCCTGTCTCTATCTTCACAGAAGGAGAAGCTAAAAATCAAGCAAGAGCAGCTGATGAACAAGATTGTGGCAAACCCTGAGGACACCAGTTCCCTGGAGGCTCGAAGTTGGTCAGGGGGCCCTTGGGGAGTGGGAGTGCAGGGGAGCCTGCTAGCTGGTACTCGATCCAGGGCCCTTGTCTACAAGGGCACCGGGTATTAGATGTGGCTTGATGAAGCGAGAGATAAGAAGGACCCAGGGCAATGAAAACTGGACTCTGTGATGCTGGAGTCAGCGCCCAGGTCCCACCTCATACCTCTGTTGTGAGCTCAGGCAAGTCTCCTCAGAACCAAAGCTTGTCTCTCTCTCTCTCACTCTGCAGCTAAGGTGATGCCAAGGGCCAGGTGGTCAGGGCCAAGGTTCCACCTCACTCTACAATGCTGCCAAAACTCATTGTGTATACAGGAAGGGCCTGCTGTAGTGAGAGCGTCTCCTTGGGGCCACCTTCCGCTTCTGCCTTTGCCCCCATCTTTGCAGTACAGGCAGGAATCAAACAAGAGGCCAACTAAGGAAGGATATTGCAGGGCTTTAGGAGAGGAGTGGGAGCTGATAATTCTGAAAACTCATTAGTGAAAACAGAGTTAAGGGTGGCAGCTGGAAGGGGAGAGGCAAGGAGTAGACCCTTGACATTCTGGAATCTAATCTTCCTGCATTGGCTAGGACCTCCAGCACAGTGTTGAATCATTAAGAACGATAACGTGTATCGTAGACTAATTCCTGAATGTAATAGGAATGCTCTGAAGTTTTACCATTAAGAATGCTATTTGTGGGGGGCGGCTGGGTGGCTCAGTCGTTAAGCGTCTGCCTTCGGCTCAGGTCATGATCCCAGGGTCCTGGGATCGAGCCCCGCGTTGGGCTCCCTGCTCCACGGGAAGCCTGCTTCTCCCTCTCCCACTCCCCCTGCTTGTGTTCCCTCTCTCGCTGTGTCTCTCTCTGTCAAATAAATAAATAAATAAATAAATAAATAAATAAATAGTCTTTTAAAAAAAAAAGAATGCTATTTGCGGGGCACCTGGGTGGCTCGGTCGTTAAGCATCTGCCTTCAGCTCAGGTCATGATCCCAGGGTCCTGGGATCAAGCCCTGCATCAGGCTCTCTGCTCAGTGGGGAACCTGCTTCTCCCTCTCCCACTCCCCCTGCTTGTGTTCCCTCTCTCGCTGTGTCTCTGTCAAACAAATAAAATCTTAAAAAAAAAAAAATGCTATTTGCTATGGTCAGGGGATACCTTTATAAGATTAAGGAACATTCCGGGACACCTGGGTGGTTCAGTCAGTTAAGCAGCTGCCTTTGGCTCAGGTCATGATCCCAGGTTCCTTGCTCAGCGGGGCTCAGGTCCTCGGGCTCCTTGCTCAGCGGGGAGCCTGCTTCTCCCTATGTCTGCCACTCCCCCTGCTTTTGCTCTCTTTGTGTCTCTCTGACAAGTAAAAAAGTAAAAGCTTTAAAAAGATTAAGGAACATTCCTTCTTAGGGTTTGCTTTCTGAGGGAAAGATAATCCAAAGTCTTTGGAGATCTTGAAATTCAGAGTGCTTTGGGAATTGTAGAGAGCTTCACCAGAGCATTGGTGATTGTTATTCCTTGAGGTCTTAAAACATAACCCAGGCCGGGGCCCTTCCTTCCTCTGTGCCAGCTCTCATCCTCTGTGGTTTGTGGTTTCAGTTGTTGCCTTGACTGTCAAGATCCGCAATTATGAAGAACACATGCAGAAGCATCGAAAGGTAAACCTTAGGCATCGCTCACGGCTAAGCACCAGCAGCTGGGGGAGAGGAGTCTAAGAGGTTAAGGGCCCTGGGTCCAGAGAAGCAGCTGGAGAAGCCAAGTGGCTACAACACCAGGGTGCCCACCCCTCAGCTGCAGTGGGGAAAACATTTCCCTCCTGCATCCAGTGGGAAATGGGAGCCTTACAGGGCAGCGCTGAGTGTCACCCATGGTCAAGAACACAAACTTCAGGACGTGGTCGCAGTGTCTGGCACGTAGTGGGTGCTCAGTAAATATTTCTTGAATATTCTTGGACTTGGTTCAAATTCTCAGCTTTGCCATTTCCACTAACCAGATGTGTGACTTTGGGGAAGTTACTTTACGTGCCCAAGCCTCAGTTCTCCTGTGTGTAAAGTGGGGATCATCGACGTACCTGCTGAGAGGATTGCGAGGACTATATGGAATAATAAAGCACCAGCATGGTCATGTGAAGTACTAGGCCTTGTGCTGAGTACTTCACATACATCAGCTCGTTTAACCCTTATAACTACCCTATTCCATTTTACAGGGGAATGATCTTGTAATGGGGTGATTAGGTTCTTTCTGAAGGCACAGCACTGGGAAATGATGTGCTAGGACTTGAAACTGGGGGTCTTGCTCCAGGGCTCACACTCTTAACCATGATGCCATATCCCAGCACAGCACTGGGCACAGAGCTGCTGTAATTAGGCAGCTGCAGGTGTTTTTAACAAACGCACCATTGTAAGCCAGACTGGTCCCAGCACCATGCTGGGGTGGCACCTCTGTGTTTCCTGGAGCCGGCTGAGCCTGCTCTTTGGAGATGAGATCTTTGCTCATTCGGAGTGTGGAACAGCAGCCCCCCTGCAGAGGTCCCTCACAGAGGAGCCCCAGGCCTTCTCTGCACCCGAGCTGACGGTTGGCCGAGCTGGGGGGAGGCTGTGCAGGGGGGTGGGAAGGGAAAGAGCGTGAGATTCGGAGTGAGACCCGTAGACGCATATGGAAGACCTGACCTCACATAAGGGCCCTACCCTGCCCAGTTCTAGCACCTTATGTGAATCAGGTGGATATCTTTGAGCCTTTTCTTTGCCCTGTCTATAAAATGGGAATAACAATGACGATACCTACCACAGAATTACACTAATATTTGTGTCCGATTGTCGGGAGGTTCCAGTGAGAGGATAAGGTGACTGTCCTTTGTTACCGTAAAGTGGCATACCACTTATGTATATAATACTAAAAGTAACCCACCACCTCCTCACAGGACAAAGCCCACAAGCGCTATCTGCTGATGAGCATCGATCAGAGGAAAAAGATGCTCAAAAACCTCCGGAAGACCAACTACAGTGTCTTCGAGAAGGTATGCAAGGAGCTGGGGATTGAGTACACCTCCCCCGCTCTGTACCACCGGAAAGGCCACCGACGCTGGGCAGCCAAGAAGGCCCTGTGCATTCAGGTACGAGTCAGAATTTCTCTCTCTCTCCCTCTGCTACTCTGTCTCTCTCTCTCTCTCTCAGTCAGGTAAATAGATAAAATCTTTAAAAAAAAAAAAAAAATTGCTGCTTTGGCTGGCCCCGCTCTGGGACTGTGGTGGGGAGAGCAGCAGGAGGGTTGTCTGCTCCTGCCTGAGGCACGGAACTGGCCCCAGGCCCTGAGGAGACCCACAGGCCATCACCCCCGCGGAGAAAGGCTGGCGTGCCATCCAGGGAGGTCCGTTCCCGCCCCACCTGCGCCAAGCCGGAGGTGCTGCATAGGATTACAGTCTCTTCCTGCTCCTTTTCATCCCCAGGTCTTCCAGGAGGTACAAAAGCTCAAGAAGCAAAGAAGGGCCTTAAAAGCTAAAGCAGCAGCGGCCCGGAAACAGGGCCAGAAGAACCCAGAGAGCCCTTCCAAAGCTGGACCAGAGGCAATCAAAGAAAACCAATAAATTGTATTTGAGTTCTGTCTTTCTGCCTTAAAGGATAATAGGAGAGAAGGGGGTGCTCTGTGTGGCCTGAGGAGGAGGAGGAGGAATTTGTTCTTTCATTCAGCTCTGAGATCCCAGTCTTGTCGGAGGCAGAGCCTCTGCCCTCACACACCAGAGGACACATTCTCACAACACACCTCACACACACTCATGTAAACAGCACCCTGTGGTCCAGGTGACGTCCCTGCGGAGGTGAGGCCGAGCGCCCAGCTGCACAGAGGAAGTGGGGCCAGCTGACTGCCAGGCGAGTAGGCCAGCTATAAGAGCTGCCTTCGGGACTGGACCCTGAAGGATGAGTGGAAGTTCACCGGGCAGAAACGGGGTGGGAAAGCATCCTGGGCAGAAGGCATTGCAAATGCAAAAGCAAAGAAGTCCACAGGTGCATGCCGTGTTCAAGGAGCAGTGGGACCAGGAAGTAAAGCTTGACAGGTAAGCTGAAGCTGGGCGGCGAGAGGCTTGATGTGCTGGCTGCCCTCTAGGGAGCGGGGAGACAGTTAGGGTTTAAAACAAAGGAGTGATGACAGCACCAAGTCTGTGTTTTAGATGGTTAAGCAGTAGCTGTGTGGAGGGTAGATGGGAGGGGGAGACATCAGAGCAATTTATTGTTTGGGGGTCAGGGGTACTGGTGTTCAGATTGAGAGTCTGATAAAAGCTACAAGTCCTATCCCCAAGAAACTGCGCATATGCAAAACGTTCCTTATAAATTCTGGGGAGTTACGGATACCCCTTTTCCTGCAAAACTCACCCATCCACACCAAGTGAAATGTCAAGGCCTTGATGTCTGAGTATGCTTGGCATGTTTGAAGAACCCAAGGAAGACAGTGTGTCTAAAACTGAGTGAACAAAGAGAAGAGTAGGGAGAGATGAGGTCAGAGGGGAAAGCAAACACCAGATAATAATAGAGTTTTCTGGGTGTATTGGTCTGCTCAGGCTGCCATTAAAAACCATAAACTGGTTTAAACAACAGAAACTTACTATTTCAAAGTTCTGGACGCTGGGAAGTCCAAGATCTAGGTGCTGGTCAATTTGATTTCTGGTGAGGAATCTTTCTGGCTTACAGACTGCTGCTTTCTATGTCCTCACGTGCAAGGGCGGGGGGAGATCTCTTCCTCTTCTTATAAGGGCACTGATCCCATCGTGAGGACTCTACCTTCATGACCTCATCTAATTCATTACCTCCTAAAGGCCCCACCTCCAAATACCATCACGTTGGGGCTTAGAGCTTTGATACACGAATTTGGGGAGGTATACAAATATTCAGTCCACAACAGTGGGGAAAAGACTTTGGGCTTCATTCTGAGAAGAAAGCCAAAATGGGGGAAGGTATATTAAAGTGACATCCAAAACACAGTTGGAAACTTAGATCTGGGACTACAGCGAGACCTAAGCTAGAGAGAGGCTTAGGGGTTAGGTTTGGATGGTGATTGAAGCCATGGGTATGAGTAAAATTGCCCAGAGAAGGAGTGTAAACAAAGAAAGGGCATGTCAGGATGGGAAGGATGATCTTAGGAGCAACTGAGGGTCTGGCGGGGTGGGGGGGGTTGAAGTAGGGATAGAACAGAGCGTGGGGTCCTGCAGAATCAGAAGTGAGGGGGCGCCTGGGTGGCTCAGTTGTTAAGCGTCTGCCTTCAGCTCAGGTCATGATCCCAGGGTCCTGGGATCGAGCCCCGCATCGGGCTCCCTGCTCGGCGGGAAGCCTGCTTCTCCCTCTCCCACTCCCCCTGCTTGTGTTCCCTCTCTCGCTGTGTCTCTCTCTCTCAAATAAATAAATAAAATCTTTAAAAAAAAAAAAAAAAAAAGGAGATGAGAGGCTCAGTACTGCAGACTTGCTGTTCAGATGTCACCTCCAGGAACAGGGAAGGCCCTTTATGGGGCAGGACTTTGAGTGGACACAGCTACGTGGAGATCCCGCACTGAGGGGCCAGGTGCCATCATTTAGGGGGACCAGTGGAGAAGGTGAGAAAAGGGACACCATGGAGCAGGCACTACAGGAAAGGCATCATTGTAAGTGCTGCCTTAGGCACAATATCTCATCTCCTTAAAGCCACCTTCCTCATCCATCCACCCCATATTGGCATGATTATCCTCATTTTACCATGCGAGAACTAAGGCTCAGAAGTTAGGTAACTTGTCCAAGTTCACACAGCTGGTTAAAGACAGGCCTGGGAATCAAGGCCACATCTGTCTTTACTCCATGCCTGTGTTCTGCTCATTATACCACACTGCCTAGGGGCAAAACATGACCTGAGATGCTATGGGCGGATTCTATGCTATAGCATACTAAAATGCCTTTAGCAATCAGGCAGGTCATGTATGAAGACCAGGTATAAGATAGTGATGCCTGGGTGGCTCAGTTGGTTAAGCGACTGCCTTCGGCTCAGGTCATGATCCTGGAGTCCCTGGATCGAGTCCCGCATCGGGCTCCCTGCTCGGCAGGGAGCCTGCTTCTGCCTCTGACCCTCCCCCCTCTCATGTGCTCTCTCTCTCTCATTCTGTCTCAAATAAAAAAAAAAAGATAGTGATGCTAAGCTGCTTGATATATCCCTATCCTAGTTATTGTCCCTTTTAAAACTGCAGAGACCAGACAAAATCAAATCAAAGCCTTGGACTGCCAGCTGTCAACTACTGTATAGTATCCAATGGTGATATGTTGGCTAAGGGGAAAAAAGTCTTCATGGTAAAGCAGTTTCAGTAGGACAGAGAGAGCTGAATCCTAGCTGCAGTGACATAGGGAGTGAAGATGTTAAGGAAATTCAGGTTGTGAATGTAGACTACTCAAAAACTTGGCTGGGAAGGAAAGGGGGCCAGAGAAGGTGTGGGAACGACTTGAGCTTGGCAAATGTCAGGGCAAAACTGTGGTGGTAGGTGTGGTTAGGAGGAAGAGGTGATGTTCCATTGAGGGGGCAAAGCTGATGAAGTAGATGAGTTCGGCTGGATTAGGGAGCAATGAGGGAGTGCTGAAGATGTCTCTAAAAAGGTAGTTGGAGGGGCATCTGGGTGGCTCAGTACGTTAAGCATTCAACTCTCCATCTCAGCTCAGGTCTCAAGCTCAGGGGTGTGAGTTCAGGGTCCATGTTGGGCTCCACACTGGACATGGAGCCTACATATAAAAAAAAATAATAAATAGAAAGGTAGTTGAAGTCTGAGTGGAGAGTCTCGAATGCCATGTTGAGGCATTTAAACTGTGATCTGGCAAACAGTTGGGAGCCACTGAAGGGATTCCTCATATTGACAATGGCAACTGCTGAAATTTAGCCTAGCAGCCGGTGCCTGTAGTAGACAGAAAAGAGCAGTAACACGGAGGAACATACTAATGCAGGCAGAAAAATAAATGAGATCAGTGTGAGAACGATTTTGGAGGAAAAAGCAGAAGTAGTGACTGATAATTGGTAATAGCACCCAGGGAAACACAGTTGGAAGCCAAGGCCCAGATTTCAAGCCTGAGTGGCTGGAGGGAAAGATGTTTTGTAGGTTTTAGAAGTATTGAAATTTACAGAAATGGTTGCTCATCGAAGTAAAAATGTACAGCAGATTATAGGAAGGTGATGCTGGAGCTCAAGATGGGGGTAAACTACAGGACGCCCTCAAAGTAGAGAAGTAGGTGGGAGGCCTGCTCAACAACGTGAAAGAGCTTCGGAGAAGCCCCAGCACGCGTCCTGCGGGAGCAGGACAGACAAGAACAAGCCTGGTTTGACTCACTCCAAGTAGCTTTTAGGAAGGAAACGCAAACTCAAGGACTTCCGGCCCTCCCCCCATTCAAAAGAAAAGTCCATTATTTTATTGAGCGCCTTCGTGGCATTTTGCACATCTCATGGATTCCCCTCTGCACCCATGAGAGGTGGGTCACCCCTCCACGTTCCGTGCCCAGAGTCGCACAACTAGGAAAGGGCGGAGCCGGGATTCCACCTCAGGTCCGGCCGCCCCGAGCTCGCTCGGAAGTTCTGCTCGGGCCTTCCTCGTTCTCGGGCCGGGGGGGACGGGAGGATGTCGGGCGGACCTGCTGGGCCAGGCCCTGCCGCTGCCTCTGCCTCCGCGCCGGAGGGAAAACCACCGCTAGAGCAGAGCCGGGGACCCAGCCTACCGCGGAGGCCGCTGCCACCGGCCCAATCAGCGTCCGCCCCGGGCGCCTCCCAACAAACGGCCCGCTGATTGGCTCGTTCTGCCATCCGCCGCGTTGCCCTAGCAATCAGGCGACCGGACGCGGAGGCCGGCCTCCGGCTACCCAGTCCCGTGGCCCTTCGCCTCCTCCGCCCTCATCTGGCACCATGTCGCTGCGGACACTACCGCTGCTCTTCTTGAACTTGGGCGGGGAGATGCTTTACATCCTGGACCAGCGGCTGCGGGCCCAGAACATCCCGGCAGACAAGGCCCGCAAAGGTGAGAGGCGCCCGGCCCGCACAGCCCACCCCACGCCCGGCAGCCCGTCCCCCTCCCCGCCGCCGCCGCCGCGCGCGCAGCCGGAGCTCCACAGCCAGGCCCCCCTGCAGACTGACCAACACCCCTGCGCCCCGCGCTCCTGTAGCCAGGGACCTTTCTCACAACTCCACGGCGCCATCCGCTCAGGGCCCCTTGGGAGTCAAATTCCCCAAAAGATGTTTTCACAGCAGAAGGATTTAATACCCGCGCTAGGGTATATTATTAGGGAACCTGACACACGCACACACACACACACACACACCACACACACACACCCCATTTCCTCATCCCCTCAAATTGGAGAGATGATTTCCCTATCTCTCTTGACAACCAGTCCCTCCCAAATGTAGGAGACCGAGCTGCCCACCAGCTATAGAAACAGTTTGCTAGTCCAAGCAACCTCTTCCCCCCGCCCCCCACCCCAACAGGTGCTGATTCTCCTGTCCTCTGCATGGTATCCTCCATGAGCCGGAGGCCAGTTTTGCTAATTTCAGAAGCTATTTCTAGAAAGGTGGGGTTCTGAAATAACAGATGAATAAGAAGACATAAGAAAGTTACGTTATT